CATGACTCGGCCATATTTAATGATTTGATTGATTCTATTTATTTGCACCGACAAATACGCAACACTTATTAGTAACACGAACTAAAAACCATGAATGTTATATAAAAATTTGGTTGGAAGGACTGAATCGGAAACATGTTGGATTGGCTGAAGATACTGTATTCGTATAAAGCTGCCTGATTAAATTCTGTTTTTATTGAATTATTGAAATAGCTTTCAGAGTTGATTGTGAGCATATTTAATATACAATTGTCTCTACTGAATAATAAAAGACTCATTTATATTCTCATCTCCGACGTTCTGCTTGTTCACCAATTCTCTTCTTTAATTTTCGAATTCCCGTTTCGTTGATGCGTGCAACGTATGACTTTTGTGTATGAAAGGAGAAAAAAAATCAAAGTTAATAATCCGACATGGGCGACAACAGATTTAAAATGACAAAAGAACGAACTCGAATATTAACATCTGTCATTTTTGGAATAATACTTAATTTAGAGACCCGGATCTCCTCGATATTTTCCCGAAATTTTAAAGATAGCATATATACATATATACATATATACAAATGGGTGCTGAATAATTCTAAGCTTGAGTATACTCTCCCAATACCTGATGCTTTGTCATTTGCTCATATTTTCGTAAGTGGGACAATACAAGATTTTTTTTCACTGACAAAAGACACAGACGTGCTCGAAAATTCTTTTTTTAATATTTTTCTCATGCTTCTATTTTATGTAATGGCGCAATAATATGCAACAGCAATTCTTCTACTTTTCTTTCTTTTTGAATTTTCTCTTATGGACCTACTTATTCTGAACAACCTTTCTTTACTATTATATATATATATATGTATATAATAGAATATATATATATATATATATATGATAAGCAAATATAAATGGATATAAATCCGACAGAATGAAGAAAATATCTGGAAAAACAAAACAAAAATCCTTAAAATGCGATTATGTAGTTTTAATATGAATGAAATGTCGACGTCTGACGTTTCGGTTTAATAACCTTCTTCAGGACAATATTCATTAAAAATACAATTAACATAATCAGTATAACACGACGAAAACGATGGACATAAAAACAAGTCTTATCCAAAACAGATAAATGAAAATTTTAAATGATCAGCTTTCCGTTTGAGCGTGGTCACGTTGTCGTCAAATGGGCGACGCTTTCACAACGTATTCTTAAAAATTTTATAAATTTGATTCCGATGGAAAGATTTTTCATATATACAATTCGTTAGAAAATCTTTTCAGTTCTTGTAGGAATACGCGGAGACTAGTTTTAATATGAATGAACATAAACAACATAATCGCATTTTAAGGATTTTTGTTTTGTTTTTCCAGATATTTTCTTCATTCTGTCGGATTTATATCCATTTATATTTGCTTATCATACTGTCCACTGGAAATACAAACCTGAATTCATTTTATTACATGGAGGACTGCATGCTTATCAGAAGATACAGGAATCAACTAGTCTTCGTCGTGTTATACTGATTATGTTAATTGTATATTTCTAATGAATATTGTCCTGAAGAAGGTTATTAAACCGAAACGTCAGACGTCGACATTTCATTCATATTAAAACAACATAATCGCATTTTAAGGATTTTTGTTTTGTTTTTCCAGATATTTTTTCATATATATATATATATATATATATATATATATATATATATATATATATATATAGAGAGAGAGAGAGAGAGAGAGAGAGAGGGGAAGGGTGGGAGGTGTGTTCTCTGTGCGTGTTGAAAAAACAATGTCTGAACATGCGTCTGCAACAGGGATTGATTAACCACTCTAGCAGACGGGCATCCTCGGATACCAATGACCAGCCTATATACATATATATATATATAGAGAGAGAGAGAAGGGGGGGGGAGAGAGACTTCAGAAAATACTAGTTTGAGATTACACTCACAAAATAATTGAAACCAGCCAATTTCTTTCTCTTTCCTTCTTTTTTTTAACAATATTTTCTATTATTTCTGTTGCCGACGGAGTTTTGTCTTTTAACGTTCCAACTTTAATAATTACTAGAAATAGGCACTATTTTATTCTTAGGAACCAAAGAAAAAATCCGGTATTTTTTTCTTTCAATTTATTTAGAGTCGGTTCAGGTTACGGCTAACCAAAAAAATGCGAGTAGCAGAAAAATATATTATTTCTTTGATCTGTTTTCGGTCCGGATATTTGAAAGAAGTAAGAATCAAAATGGTCACTAATTTCAATAACCAAGTTCGAAATTGTTAAACTCTAATATCACTAATTGTTGCGTAGCCAAGAACTGTTTTCATTTGTTTAAAATGGTATTTTTAAGCGAATATATTTCTTGTTAGTAGCACAAAGGTTCCTATTCTGAAATAATTTTCTTTTGCCCAAACAATGATTATAATAATAATCTTTCACCAAATTCCTCTGTGTATGTGTGTGTGTGTGTGTGCGTGTGTGTGTGTTTGTGTGTGTGTATCTGGTCTTCTACCCAAGCAAAAAACTGGACGTGTTACCAACAGCTTAAAAAGTTTGCATGACTTATATGATTACCAATGAATAAACTATTATTTTGAGAATATTTGGCGAGACTTCTCTGACAGACTAAAATTTATTTTAGAAAATACAGACTCCTCAGTATTTTTCACCCTCTTGAGTAAACATCATAAAATATTTTACAGATTCGTTTTGAGATAATTATCCGACGACATGGAGGCGCGGATAGCGTAATGGTTATCGGTTATCAGCACTGGAAGGCAATTCGACGTACCGTGTTCAATTCCTGAACGTTTCTCTTTCATTGAAAAGGCATGAATCCATCTTCGTCCGGCGATGAGTTGACTGGACTCACTTGCCTTGTTCTGGAAACTAGTCGAGGAGAAGGAAAAACCGGCAATTCAAAGCCATCCTGAAGAGGAATGCTTTCCTTCAGACTCTCTTGTCTCCCCAAGACACACCATTGCTTATATGGCTGTAGTATATAGGGTGCCTCGACGACCCTCAGGGGTTACGAGACTCGTGACGAAATGTGACGATTCGACGTCTAGAAATTTCCATTTCTCAAAAAGAATGATTTTACTTAGATTCCTCCAAACATTTGTTAAAAAGGGGAAGAAATATGAACAAATGCACAAAAGAAAATTAAAAAAAAAAAACATTTTTATCGTCACAATCTTTATTAAGAAAAATCGAAGGATTTTTATGTAAGAATTTTTTTTTGTTTTTTCTTATCCTTTTAGAACGTTGGAAACTTTCGTTAAAATCTTGTTTTTTTTTCATCAACATGCGACCTTAAATTTATACGGAAAATATTTGAGCACTTTTTTGCGGTAAAAAAAAAAACACATTGATTTGGAAATTCTTGCAAAAATCAAATAATTGTCAGATTTTAATGAAACTTTCACAACATTCACAAATGAATGAAATTAGTTTTGAAAAGTTTCTTTTTTTTCATTTTTGTCAAACATATATATGTGTGTGTGTTTGTGTGTGTGTGTGTATTCTTACATCTACCTACCCATTTAATTTTTATGAAATTTAGAAAATATATTCTATTGCTTATAATCAGAGAATTTAAATCATCAAAGGTTCTCAATCAAACAGGACCTCTAGTTGCAGAAAATCTGTCCTAAATTGTAAAGAAAAAAAATGCAATAAAACTAAGATATTATTTAATTCGAAAAGCCTTTAATTGCTCCTATGAATAAAATATACTATGGATAGTATTGTTTCAAGAAAATCAATGTTTTTCGATGAATCATGAACTTTCACAAAATTTGTTTTCATTATTTTAAAACTAATTAGAATAATTTATAACTGTTTGCATTAATATGTAGCGACCAAATGATATTTTTTATTAAATTGAAACTGTATTAAATAAATCATAAATGGAAAAATCACTACAATTCTATGACATCCAGTATTTTAAAAAGAATTTTGAATTTATTTTTGTGTGTGCATAAACATGTCGATTTTTGTAGATACCAACATTATCAAAACATAAGAGCGGTAACTACAATACATTTAAACATTTATTGGTAATTTTCTAATATTTTTTCAACAAGCGTATTTGTAAATAAGGGTCCCTCGATTAATGCGCATTCGATCAATGTATTTTCGATTCGCGCACTAAAATTTTTATATACCAAAATTCGATTAGTACATACATAATACTCGATTAGTGCGGTAACACATAGTAATTGAAAATTGATTTTTTTATAGTTACCGATGTATACATTAGCCGCACTAATCGAGGGATTTCTGTACCTAAAATTCAATAAAATATTAGACTGCTTAAAATATTCTCTTAATTTTTTGAGATTACGGGGTAGTTAATATAACTATATAAAAGGGATATTGTATTCGGCAAGTAATTTCTTTCAGTTCTACACCCTTTACTTAAATTACCCAAACATTCATTGTTTTGTAATTCATTCATTGTTTTCTAATTCTAAAGCTTCTGAAAATAATAAAGACATGACTAATTGTTTATTTATGGTTATCAACAACACGTCAAAAATACTCCTTCCTTGGAGAAAAAATGATTTCCTGCGATATTTAAAACTAAATTTAAGTAATGTTTGTTTCAAACCAGATTGATTCAATTTTAATCAGCCAATTTTCACCAAATAACGTTTCAGGAAGTACATTTTATTTTTGAAAGATTTTTTATTAAAGAGAATTATGTTGTGTTGACAGATCTGTCAAAATTGATGACTTTATTTTAATGAGAAGGAACAAAAACAATTCTAATCAACTTAAATCTTGTTTGAAATACAGTAAAGTATTTTACTTATTGGAAATATTAAATTTAATCTATTAGCTTAAAATTAAAACTAAAATTAAAGCTTCAAGAAAGATTTTTCATTTTTTCAAATGGATTTTAAACTTAGACAGTGTTTCTTTTTTGTGTGCCTAGAGAAAAGACAGAAGAAATGAAATCCGTTTTATTTTCAAACTGGCTTCATTCGAATTACGAATTCTACTTACCATGAGCAGATTCTTTCGCTTTTTCCAAAAGCTCGTTATAATCATTGGTGGTTTGCTTGACATTGTGATAAGTACTGAAAACATCGTATTTAATATTTTCTATCTGCAATTGTTCCTAAAATAACAAAAAGAAAAAAGTTCTAAGTCAAAACATCCAAAATAAAGAAAGTTAGTTGATTTGTTTAATGGCAAATCAACATCCTTATGGGTCATTTAATGCTGACATTTAATTTTCTTGGGAGCTTTGAAGTAATAAAATATTATTCTGCTTTCACAATTGAATAAATGGTAGATGATACTCAGCTTTTGTTCATATACATGTTTGTGTGGACATAATTACTAGAGGCGGTGATATGTGTGATTTATGTTGTAATTTTGTTGAAGTTATATTTTGGAAAACAGTTTGATTTAAGAAATTGATGGATATTATGTAGATTAATATAATGAAAGAGTCCTTTCATGGGGGGGGGCTGGTTTTGTTTGGCCGCATATCAACTTCTATGGGTTATTTAATATCGAAATGTAAATATTTTTTATGGCTTCAACTAAATATATTTTGAACGCAATTGTGTGCCTTCAAGTACAGATAAAATATATTGCTGGTCATGTATTGTCGTTTTTTTTTATGTAAAAATGTATTGCAAGTATTTTTATTATTAAGATGTATTTTGATCCATTCATAGTGTTTTTGTTTGGGGGTTCACTATTTGCACGTAGCTGGGAAACTGGATCAGGGTAGATCTGGGGACAACAGTAATTAAAAGGTGGTTTCAGGCTCTTAAAATCCTCTAATTTCCAGATTAGCGGCCTTACTGTCTGGTGTAATTTATCGTCATACCCAAGAAAAGATTTAGAATTGTGAACAAACATTAGAAACATAAGCACATTTATGATGCTGAGAAGAAAAAAACAAAATAGACTCTTGAATGTATAAGAGATGAAACAAATTTTCCTTTTCTTACTGCTTATCGTTCAACTGATTGTTTCTAAATTTTCACTCGTACAGCATTCGTTGTCTTCTAATTCTAAAGTTTCTGAAAATAATAAAGACATGCCTAATTGTTTATCTTTAACGTCATTAGTTGTAAACTTTGGATATAATTTCTGTCACCATTTGCTGTGCCGTGCACAAGTGTTCAAGAAAGAAAAACAGAGAGGAACTTGGTGCTTGGAGAATAATAGCCGTTCTTCTGTTGAAAGGGAAATGAATCCCGGCTGTTAAAGAGAAAAAAACAAAAAAAACAAATGAGCGACAAAGTAAAGAAGATATTTTTAACAGCGAACAAAGTCCAAACAAATTTATCATTTATTGCACTGCGTTTATTTACGGTTTTGAAATTAATTCAACTTGACGTTTCCATCTCGAATTTGAAAATAAAATATTATCTTTATTTTATTTTTTCCTTTCATTGCAGGTGTATACTCATTTCTTTCCGGATCCCAAACAGAGACCTAAGGTCAGAAATGGCATTATGGCATTTTCCACTGAGCATTTTTTTTTTTTTTTTTTTGAGAAAAAATAAAAACTACCTTAAAATCACATACATTTTACGTAGATAAAGCCCATCGTAAGGTGTTAGCTGTACTTGTGAGTACAATATTTTGTATTTCTTTAAGGCTTCGACTACCAGGAATTCCTTAAAAGTGTCTATCAGAACCTCTTCCAATCAATCCGAGGACTCCAACTACAATTGGAATTGTTAATGTCTTCATGTGCCACGTTTTTGAGATTTCCATTTCAAGGTCCTTGTATTTTGATAGTTTTTTGAAGATCATCAGAGATATATTACAGTCTGAAGGGGGCTGTCATGTCAGTAAGAAAGCAAATTATGTCTTTGTGATCTTTCATCACGATGTCTAGGCGATTAGTTTTGATTGTTCTGTCTGTGTGTATTGTACATTGACATAAAATTGTTTCAGGTCCTATGTCTGTAACCGGGTCTGGGTGGGATTTATCCCAATTTTTTGCAGTTTCTTTTCCGTAAAAGTTGCAGACTTTCCAATGCATATATTGCTCCACTCTGTCATGCCGGGTTTTATATTAAGTGAGTGTCATTACCGTGCAATCTGATACAAAATGGTCAATGAATTCTAGATATATATCACAGAATCTGAATTTGGGGCTAACACAGTTTTTCAGTATATGTGCTTGGTAATTTCTAGTTAGTAGGAACGGTGCAACAAAAAGTATTATTATTATTATTATTACTTCTTTTTGCTGTCTGTTCAGTCCATTCCCTTAATGAGTCATTGGTCGAAACCTGAGGTAAGGCAAGGCAGTAACTATATGCATTCTATTTGTACAAAATCTGACGTTGATTGATTTCTTTTCTACGGCTTGTCAACCCTTTGTAGGTTTTTTAAAGACAAATACATACTTTGGACTTCAAGAATTTGTTGGGAATAACAATGATTTTTCCAGATAAAAGTTCAATTATTTAACACATAGCTGCAGAAGGAGATAGATTCATAACTTTCTCAAAGGTACTTGCGAGTAAGTGAATGTAACAAACCCGATCGGACTTGGAACTCTGCTCTCCGATTTCTCATTCCGAGCCGCTATCCATTCCACACACACCCATACACACACGCACAAAACAAAAAAAAATGTGATGTTAAGTGATACTTAACATGTAGAATGTTTATATATTTTCTTTTACATTGATAACTCTCTTATGTGGATGAGCACAGCCACATAGTACAATATTTCAATCTCTTGTAAACAATGGGTTACCAAAATTATTCTTAATTTTCTTGTCTGGACCTTTGTTGTTAGTAACTAAGGTTCGAATTATTTCAATAAATATTATAATAGTTTAAATGTGCCATTTTTTATTTCAATTTTAATATACTTATATTGACATTATCCTCTTTAACAATTATATTTTTATGTAATAATAATAATCCCATATCTTTGAGAGGATAGTTTTGTCTTCTTTAATCACTGTATCTATTGGCTTTTATATATCTGGCAGTATGAATAGTCCCAACGAATTATGACTTCATCACCTTCTTGACTGGTTCAGGGTAACATTCATAAAATGTTTCAAGATGGGACACATTTAATATTGTCTTGTCTTAATGAATGTCTTGCGCGATCTTTGTATTAGTTTCGTCTCAGAATTGGACAACCAGATAATAATTGGACAATAGTTTGAAAATACTACTCACATAATGTACATATTGAGTCTGCGCCATTTTTTTAAGTTTGCCTGGTAATTCGCTTTGGTTCTGTGCAGCCATTATAAATGCTTCTTTCTCTACTTTTAGCCTATTTATACTATTCAGCTACTAATCAACATCAGCATCGTTACTTCTGATTACGTATTGGCCATGTAGCATTTTTTCTTCCTATGTGTTTTAAATAGTTTAAACTTTGTGTCTTGGCATCCTTTTTTTATAATTTAGCTCCATTACTTAATTAAGTTTGCATCATTTTTATTGTACTATAGCTGAAGAATCTGAGAATTCCAGTCAAATCTATTACATTCACTTACGTGCTAATACCCTTAGGAAAGGTATGAATCTTCTTTTCCTTCCCCCCAGCTATGGGTAAATAACATAACAGACCGAGTTCTATAGTCTTGGATGGCAACTGGTCTACCGCAGAAAGAAATGACAACCTACTGCGGGAAATAAATCTGTCTCGTCAGTCATGTATCGAAAGATACATGATCGCCTTAGTGCGTATCGCGCGTGGCACATAACTGACTGACTGACTGAATTCCTGGTGAATAGATTTTTGCTCTTTACACCTATTAAAAATGCCTCTACTCCTGCGACCTTCAGTTAAGATGGGTTTTGGCATCATTACTTCTAAATGCATATTGGCCATGTAGGGGATTTTGCTCCCCTCAGGTTTCTGTGTTTAGTTCTAACATATTCTTATTATTATTATTATAATTATTGTTATTATTATTATTTAACTCCTCTTTGCAACAAATATATTGACTTCAAACAACAGATGCTTCAAGAGATTTATGCATTGTTTATCTTCGCTTATAAGATTAGAAAATTACATTGAGTATGCCTTCGTAATATACGTACAATATTGATAGGCACTGTTTTTTGTTTTTTATTTCATTGAGGAATGGTTTATCAGAGATTTTAATAAAATGTTTGCCGGTTTTAATCATACCCAATACCCAACAAAATCCCGGCAATAATCTGTGATTTAAGTATCAAAGCTCTTGGATTTCAATTTACTTAACTTCTTAAATTCTTTTACAGAATAGAACATTTTTTCTAATGTTCACCCAATACAAAGCCCAAGGGCCACTCAAGGTAGAGGGTTACTGTATGGAGCTGTATTAGCATAAGAAAGGGCAAGATAACAGGAAATATAAACAACTAATTCTAGACTTGAAGAGGTCAAGATATAATTAGCGAATAAATTCTAGATTTCAGGCGGAGACGTTAGAAGTATAGAGTTGAAGTAAACTTTAAAAGGAATCAGAAACCCAATCCTAAGCAGGAAACAAGGGATGAACCTCTATTCCTGTTCAAAAGACCATGGAGGAGTGTGAACCGGACGATAAGCAAACCTATCTACTCCTATTCATATTAATTAAAAAAACAAAACAATTTTTTATGATCTTTGATAATTATATCTTTTCAAGTGATCGTGTCAGTTTTTACAACAAAATGACATTTCCCCCCTTCAATTTACCGTTTATTTACTATAAGTCTTATGTAGTAATTCAATTTCCTGGGAATTATTACTAAAATACGCATGGACCACAGTATTTATTCATTAAATGAAATAAATCGAATATATTTTTCAAATTTTATAGTTATTTCATAAACTCCCAAAACATTGTTTAGACGGCTGTAGTGTCAAATTATCTAACTTAAATTTTGGAACAGAAAAAATGTCAAATATAAAAAATGACCAAATACTGATTTAATGTTTGATCAGAATTCATTCATAAAATTATCCACACAATCATGCAAGAAACATTCTTTTGTTTATCCTCTTAATACTTATTCGACACCCAAATTAACAAAACCAATATCAATATTTTTTTTAGGATTGTCCGTTCTATCTATAAATAAAATATCTGTCAGTTTAGGCGAAGAAAATTTCTGTGTGAAAGAAAAATGTTCACCTATTTTGGTGACCGTTCTGTTCGCCATTGACATCATGATCATCCACCTGCTCCTTATTTCTCTATGGTTCGATTATAGGCTAGTGGATTAGAGCGTTGGTTGGGGAATTGGGTTACATAATTGTGAGTTCAATCCCTGGACACTACAGAGTTAAACCCAGTGGAAAGAGGATGAACAATACTAAAAAAAAGAACAAGACGATAAATACGTTGGAAAACGAAAAATCTAACGTCTGTGGCTTAAATAAATGGTTCGGTTCGAAATACTTTGAAGGTTACCTGAATCGACGGACACCTGAAAAAGCCAGAAAGCACACCAGCCAAAAAGTTGTGATAATAACAACAAAAATGAGGACATCAGTTTGAACGAAAATAATGATAATTCAGAAATTCAGATGTAAATTAATTATGCAAATCTTATAAAAATATCAAGTGAATATTTTACTGGCAGCTTCTTGGACGAGATAAATATTTTTGTTGTAAGGCATAAATTCTTGACTTAATAAAATTATGTTCATTTATTGCTTCTTCATTTAAGAAAAATTTAAAATCTGAATAACGATTTTCATTTTCCTTTGAGAAGGAATAATTCGGCAAACAAATTGAAAGCATTTTATCTAATGTCATAAAATTCATAGATGGATTTCAATGATCATCATTATTAGAAGGTGAATATCTAAAGATGGAATCTTTAGATATTCACCTTTCTGCCGCAGAATAAGACGACAGGCCACCTGCAAATAATGTACCCACCTATGAGATTAGATAACTATACTGAAGCTTGATCAAATTTTAGAATTGTTTCTGATAAACTGATAAAAGTCCATAAAATCAGAAATAGATGGCAATCAAAAATGAATGAAGTAACAGCCTCCATGTTTAACTCTAGAAAAATCTTACCTCAAATTCCACTAACGTCTGCTGGAAAACGTACTCTTCTCCTACAAAAATAGCCACGTTGGTGTAATTAAAATTTCGTAAGCACTCGATATAGAATGAAGTCACTGTGCTGAATGAGGCAACCATACGGGCAAAATACGGATAGATTTTCTTGTTGGACAGACTCGGTAAGGTACAGCCGTAGCTGAGCATCACTTTTTTTTGTTCGCTAATCAACGATGCTGTCATCTCACAGACGACATCGCAGTAGCCGCCTATAAAAGACAAGAACAAAGAATATAACTTATTAAACAATTAAAAAAACAAATGAGCAATAAGTAACAAACAAAAGAAACTACGATAGATTTTTTAACTGATAACCCATCTAAAAGAAAGAAATAAGGCATATATTGCAGAGATTTCTCTATCGCCTCTGAACTAGGCCTGATCATCGAAGAACCCACTAGCGACCCTGATGCGACGGGACATCAGGCGAACCTCCTCTAACTCTTCCTCATATCCTGCCCAGATAAATGTTTAGAAAAGTTTTTAACTCCAACCCTGCACATCAGACTATTCCCTAGTCAGTGTCTAGATGTATGCCAAACCATATGCATCTCCTAATTTGCCGTTCAACAGAACGATTTTTTCGCTACATGAAGACAGACTGGGACAGATTTCGACCTTATATGGCGGAAACTCCTATCTTAGCCATCTTCAAGCACGCAGCCTCCAAAACCGCTGCCTTCGTCTATGAATAGATCCTTTCTGGAATGGAGAGTTTATTGCCAAAAGAAATTTCAACAAAAACTAAACAGCTAACCCTGGTTTACCCTTGAATACGCTGCAGCCATAACTCACCGTAACCAGTACTTTAATATCTATATCGCAAGGATTGGTCTAGTTTGACTCTTACTGTATTCAAAACCGTCCACAATCGCTGCAAGAAAGTTCTGGAAAATGCAAAGTGTAGCTATGCACAAGCGGTCCAAGCCAAGGTTAAAAAGAAACAAATTGGATCCCGAGAATTCTGGGACATCGCTAGCCCAATTATGAAACGAAGCAAAACGGCTGTGCCCACTCTTATAAATGGCCCCAAGGTCATATCTTCCTCGACAGATAAGGCGAACTTGTTCACCTCGATCTTTGTCTCGAATTCAATATTAGATGACAAAAGCTACCCCTTCCCAACTTCCCACATCTCACTGAGTACAATCTCAGTAATATGTTCATTACAGTACAGGAAGTCTCAAGATTTATCAAAAGCCTTGACCGTAAGAATGCCACTGGCCCAGACAAAATTCCAGTGGTTATTATTAAGAATCTTAAGAATCCAGGATTATCCGCGATCCTAGCGAAGTTATTTAACCACTGTTTGAAGGAGAAATCCTTTCCAAGCCTGAGAAAATTGTCAAGAGTATGCTCGGTTATCAAAAATCCGCGAGCGATTTTCCCCTCTCACTATAAACCCATCAGTCTCCTCTGTATAATTATTAAGCTTTTTGAGTCTATAGTCAACGAAAAAGTTGTTGAGCACCTAGATAAAAACAAACACTTGAGCTACAAATAGTACAGGCGAACTACATTCCTTAGTTCCACCAGTTCTAATTTTCATTACTAAGATCCGCCATGCCACTCACATTGTAACAAACCGCTCACATTCCCTTCGTATTCCATTGGTAAGAAATCATTCCCGCAAACCACTGCTCTGTGGAACCGACTCCCAAGAGGATGTTTCCCCAATCACTACAATCTTAAGCTGTTAAAGTCTAGAATTAACTATTATCTTCCCCTCCTATCCGCATAAACTGCCTCTTAATATAACCTTCTACCACGAGTGAATCCCGGGTCTTATACATGATGAATATCATTGCACACACACACAAACACACACACACCCACACCCACACACACACATATATATATATATATATATATATATATATATATATCCGTCGTCGGCAACCGTTGGCTTCCGAGCATCGAGATCGTCATCCTCTCTTCCAATTCCTTATCACTCCCCACCCCATGGTGGCGTTGGCGTAGGCGACTATGAATCAAAGAAAGTTTGATGAGGCCATTCGCTTGAATTTGATTTTGGTAGACAACTCTGTGCGACGGAGAAGCCCACACACTAAGCCAGAAGCGCCTCCCTCCCGACTCAAAGGGGATTGAGGCTGGCGATATCTGGCAAACCTAGTTGCCTCAGTGTGCTGGATGTTTGGTCTATCAAGGTCCGCCTTGCTTAGACGAGCCAGACTGTCGCTGCTCTCTTCTGCTGGTTTCGCCGTTGAGATCATATAGATTCCGTCATTACGTTCTTCGGGGTTGGTTGCGTTGCGGGGTTCAGTCTGGTTTCTCTTCTTCTTCCTCGACCTATGGGTGGCCCAACAGAAACTGGAACCCCAGTCGGTTTTGCTCTTAATATCACTGGGGTACGCAAGCCCTCTACCAATATATATAAAAATAAATAAAGCTATAATTCTTCATATATATATATATATATATATATATATATATATATATATATATATATATATATATATAATTATATATAAAATTTATTTTATTTCGGCATTTTATTTCTTCAAACGTTATTATAGTGGATACTTCGTATTTGAAATAGACGACTCACTTATCAATTAAACAGTTTGTATTACGTCTATCGTTTTGCGCACTCGAGAAATCTTACAGTTTAATTTTTTGATTAGGATAAAACACTTTAATACTGTATGAACTTTAGAGAATTTATTTCTGATGTATATTTTTGTCTCGAAAATTCTTCAATTGCCTTATTTTTTATTTAAACAGTAAGTGAAAAAAAACGAGAAAATTAACTTCTTGCAGCTGTACACATGTTAACGCGCTTGTTTTTAATTTTAATCAGATATTAGTAGTGTCCCCATTCATGAAAAGAAATAAGCATTTGCCACACTCCAAGAAAGGAATGATTCTCACATTTTATGATAAGGATCTTAGCTTTTGCCATCTTTCAAATAACTTTATAATTCTATCCATTCAAGTTTGTTTATCTTTCTTAGAGAAGAACTCGTCTATAGGTGGTCCTTACAATCTTTCGTAATTCTGTAAAGAGTAGAATAAATGATAATCTGAAGGTTCAATGTCTGAAAACTTCATAAACTCCAATCTGTTTTTTCCTGATTCCTAATTAATTCACTAGCATTATCTTCGTGGAGTATCCTGTTCTTTCTTTTTACTAATTCCAGACGGACACTTTGTTTTCAGTTGGTCTAATTAGGAACAATATTTGTTCGAATCAATCCTTTACTTCTTGGGAAGAACTTCAAAGTAGAGAACTCTCTTCCAATGCCACTATAATATATAATAACATCACCTTATTTTTATGAAGACTAGCTTTTGGTATGGTTAGTAGGTGTTCATTTCGCTTGCAAATTGCACGTGTGAATGCTACCCAGCATCGCCCAACATTTGGGCTAACGGAACTATCCTTGCCCAAGTCATTTGATTGATCTCAAATTGTCAAGTAGCCTATCCGATCATGCAATACTGTTCAGCATGAAATCTCCGACATGAAACTTCCCAACCACTTTTGACACGTTTGAACATACACAGTTTCTTCTTCATGAACTGTTTTGCATATTTCGAATATTCTTTCTTTCTTTCTTTCTTTCTTTCTTTCTTTCTTTCTTTCTTTGCGTGCTATCTTTTTTTCAGGAAAGCCAAACAGCGTCACCAACGCCTCTTTTTCTTCTGTATTTATTCGCAATCAAACCGGAATGGTCTATCATTTATCCGACGCAATGGCAAAGCGTAACGCACATGCTAACTGACTTACTAACTAACGGAGGAACAAACAGAATTCTAATAGGATAATTAATAACTTTGATAATTAGCCTCGTATAAATAGTGAATTTTGATTTCATTTAAGTGACATCTTTAAAATTGTCTTTTAATGTGACACGTTGCAAGAAAACAAAGTAATGAATGTCGAAATGTGCCTGGTTATGTCATAAAAGCTGGGTTAGTGAATCTCATTACCATACAAAACCTATTAGCTAAATAAAGATTTCTTCGTCCTGACAACCAGTGTGGCAATTAGAGTTCTGTTATACTTGTCATCTGAGCAGCACCAGAAGACGCACTTAAGACTCCATTACCGCCAATTTTCAGAAACTCTTAAAAGAGATGACGTCAAATAAATGATTGCCATGTAAGCTTTCAAATGATAGCATCTCAGGCCCTAGTCTATTTTGGGCTTTGATTTCTTAATAAGTATCATCAAGTAAACTAATTCTAGGTTTCGGTATTGTTTTGAGTGTTGCACTATCAATGTGTCGAAAAGGTGTCAAGGCTGACCTTTTCACAAGGTTAGCAGTTGAATACTATGTTTAGTGGGTGGGGAAGCTGCATGATGAGTGGCATTTGTTGATGAAAACACAAAAATATCGAATACCCCGCCTCCTATTAAATGCTTTCTTTAGAATAGGCAGCACAGGGCTTTCGTTTGTCACCATTTTACTGTTTTTTGTCACCCGACGAAGACAGATATAAAAAAAAATGTTGAGTACAAATTACAGTGAAGAAAAAAAAGTTTCTGAAATTGTAAAGTCGACAGAATATAGGATTGTAGAAAATTCTGTGATTCTATCTTTCTGATAGTACCATTCAAAGGGCAACGAAAATAATAAAATCAATATCCCGGACAACTCTTGTGGGTGAGGGTAGTATTGGATTGATCCAGTGTTAACATGGCGGAACAGATTGTGACTTCGGTACTTGTTCTCTTCCCCCAATATGAAATTATGAACTTGTAGAAAATATTTTGAAAATAAGCTTTAAATATAACTTCACATTATTCACAATCATTTCCTGTTTATAAATTTAAACTTAATTTAAAGTTACATTTAAAGTCTATTTTCAAAACTTTATTACCAGTTTTTTACGCAAAAACCTCAGGGTAAAACAGATACCGTATATACTCGAGTATAAGTCCACTTTATGTATAATGCAACCCTTTATCTGTTTTCCACGAAAAATTAACCTGTGTATAGTGCAACCGGTCATTGAAAATGCATGATTTTTAACCTCTTCAAAATAATTCCTTGTGTATAGTCCGACCCTACCTATTTTTTGCATAAAAAACTATTTATAAAAACTATCAGTATACTCAAGTATATACGGTAACCTAACTATGTTTACTGACGTTGGATGATCATGGTGAAGATTTTTTGTGTATAGTCAAAATTGTTCAATATTTGACACAATTTATCCTGCTCGCAGTGTCGAACGCCTTTATCACGTCTACAAAAGTGATAAATTGTCCTTTGTTCTGCTATCGACATGTTTTGGTTCTTTCTTTTGATAAAAATATGATTGAATTATATGGAGGCTGATATTCGTAATATATGCATTGATTGATGTAGATATTGCGAATGTCAGAATTAGATAATCTGTATCAATCAATTCATATATTACGAATATCAGCCTCCATATAATTCAATCATATTTTTATCAAAAGAAAGAACCAAAACATGTCGATAGCAGAACAAAGGACAATTTATCACTTTTGTAGACGTGATAAAGGCGTTCGAGAAACTCCATCTTTTTACTTTGAGTTTAGAATTATTCTCCTTATTGTTGCTTCTTTGAAACGTGTATAAATTGTTGGCCTCCAACTGACGCTCCATTTTGGCACGACTCATGTTTGTAACTTTAGCTTGTCACTAATATTTTTGGTTATATAACTGTCTCAGTTTGTTTATATCTATCTATCAGTTTGTTAATATCTCTCTATCTCAGTTCCTTGGTACTTATCTATCTATATATATCTCTTTCTATCTCCGTTTAAATTTATCTATCCTGTTTATATCTATATATATATATACCTCTCTTTTTATATCTATCTATCACAGTTTGTTAATATCTATCTGTCCATCTATCTCAGTCTGTATATATCTATTTCAGTCTGTTAATATCTATCTATCTATCTATCTATATCTATCTATCTATATATATATATATATATATATATATATATATATATATATATATATATTCATATCTATATGTTCATATCTATATGTTCATAACTTTATGCTCATATCTATCTACACATCTATATGTCTATCTATTTTAATCTGTTCATTATCTATCCATTTATCTATGTATCTTGGTCTATTCCTTATCTATCTATCTATCTATCTATCTATCTACCTACCTACCTACTCATGTCTATCTTTTCATATCTGTTCATATCTATATAAGTAGCTAGTATATCTCTTTTAAGCTTGTAATCTGTTTTCTCAATAAAATTATATTATTTCTTAATTTAATTACATTTAATTCTAATTTTTTGACGTCGTATGTCTTTGTTGCTGTCACCGAGAAAAGCACTAATGTGTGAAAAATAAACTTTTGTGACTGATTTGAAGAAACAACTGTAACAGAATAATGTGTTAAGTGGAACTCTCAAGAATGACTGACATGCCCGCTCGAGTGCGAATATTCGCATACAACTATCCACGCAGACGATATTTTCTCGATTAAAAATATTCTCTTTCACTTATAAACCTACTCATACAGACAAATTGTTAACTGTTCTTGTTTTTAAAAACAACTGTGACATTTTCTCAGATATACTCGGTTTTGCAATGTGATAATATATATACACGAATTATTTTAAACTGTTTAAAATCTAATGTAATACTCGGAACAACATATTCTCTAAATAAATCGATGTTGTCTCCAAATAACAAAGTTAAAAAGGAAAATTCCAAGTCTTCCCAGTTTCGTTTATTATTTCTGAGTGTTTGTTATTCATAAATACTATTTTTCATCTGCCCCAATCGGTGTCAAAAATAAGCATAATACACTCAACTCCAGTGGGTCATCCATTTTACAACATCACCCTCCATTGCATTTAAGAAAAAAAAGATGGAATGTCAAGGTCAATGATGCCTGAGTGGGTTGAAAATGAAAGTGTCGAGGAAGACTGAATAAGTTTTGTTGGATTCCCACTTTAAACATGACTTTGTACCATATTCTCTTTGAGAGGGCGTGAAGAGAAATACCTATTCAGCGTTTTTTTTCCCAAAAATTAACTACTCAATTTATATTTTAAAAATTAAAAAAGGCTCTTATTGTTTCATGGAAATTTTAGTTACGTAACTTTATAAGATTTCTTCAATTATACCGCTTATTCATCCATCTTTCTATCTTAGCACTTTAAGTATCTTAGTATTACCCACAATTCTAGAAATGTATTCGTCAATATGTAGAATGTTTACAATCTCAAGGAAAACCGTGTAGTCTTTCACCTATATACACAATAAAATATATAATTTTCTGTGTCATTCTACTTTAAAGGAAAATATTATAATTTGTAAGCAGCCAAGTCAGCTTTTCGTAAGGAATATTTATAAACAGAATTTCTACTTAAATTCATTTATTCATTTTCTTTGAATAAGATTTTGGTAGATATGGAAGATATTACAAGTATCGAGAATGTTCATTTTATAATTAATACTGCTGAAGATGTATTTAAAATTTTTCATTATTTTATTCTCGGAGGTGGTATTTGCTTAATTTTTCAAATGCCTTTAAGAAGAAAATATATCGACAGTATTGTGCAATTTGTGTATTTCCCGGCAACGAAGTCATTTTCATAACAATTTAAATTTTACTTTCTTGCTTGTTAAATGCGAATAAAAATGCAATATTTTATTGGAACTGTGATTCATTCGTATATAGATACGCATAATTCATGTTTTAAATTGTAGCAATTTTCGTCACAAATAATAATCTAATCACCATAATAATATAATCTAATAGGCATAGTAATAATAACTAATAGCAATAACATTTGAATAATACCTGATATAATAACGGTTATTGCCAATAATACTAGAATAGTTGCTAATAATAATAATAATAATAATGACTAATATCCATAAAACAATGGGTCAGCTTGCGATATCAAAAGCAAAAATTAAGTTCGACAGACAATTGCTCGTGTGTTCGGAAGAGTATGACCCCGTTTGAAACTCTGTTATATACGCAAACACAGAATGCAACTCAAGCAACATAAAATAAAGAGAAATGAAGCTAGAGAATTAAAAAAAAAACATGAAAAACAGACATAACGTTACTTTTCAAAGAGACATTTAACAGCATTTTAATAATATATGAAGCAATGATTTCATCTTCTTTCCTCTGCTCTGAATATAAATTTGTGCCGTATTGCAATTGTTGACAGACGGCTAGATAGATAGATAGATAGATAGATAGACATTTCTTGATTAACTAATAGTTTCACACTGCAATGCCCATTTTGAACGAGCCTGATGTGTACAATGCGTGAACATTAAATTAAGCATATCATTTTCTAAGCGATAGTTTCATTTTGAACAGTGAGATAATGCTACGAAATAATTTACATAGAAAAACTGATCGGCCAAATCATTTCGTGACTTGAACGTACCAGAAACAAATGTTGTTTGTCAGATCAAAACAGGGATTCCATTTTACTCACCTATAAAAATATCGTATGTCTTCTTCTGGTCTAGAATGTTGATCAACGTTTTTGTCCGATTACAACTCGTATCGATTTCCTCAAAAGCAAAAGCTATATCATGCTCTTTAATAGCTGTGAGTTTCGAATCATTGTTGACTCTTTCAACAGCCAAGATCATGGCTCCAATTGACCCTTTTACTGCCATTGGACTGTGACCCGAAAGTGGCACTAGAAATCCAATTTTGATCTGATCTTTGGTTGTGTGACATTGACACGACCAAAAACCAGTTATACCTAACATACAGAAAAGAAAAACTGGACACATTTTAAATCAACACGAATTACCACGGAATGACGTTGTCCACAGCCTAGTATGGGAATCCTAGGATATTTCCACATAAATTTAAGAGTTCTGTTTGGCTTAAGCTCGTAGACGTAGTAGAAAAAGTCAATTATGCCATCGGAAGGAAACAAACCAGTTGATATAAGGTCTTCCCTTAGGCGCCCACGTAATGTATATAAATATAAAGTGAAATCATGTGAATGTCTGGACGGAACTCCAACATGTGAATTATATTGTGTCATTCGTTGCAAGACATCATGCCATTCAGATTCAGCGACCGATCGAGATGAAAGAAAAGTTCATATTTTTTTGTTCTTTAGTTTTCATAATTGTCAGCTATTTAAAAAAATCATATGACCATATTGAAATGAATTTGTAATTAAATCAAATCAGTCTTTGCTTTCTTAAATCCATGTTTATTTTGATGGTCGTTGTCTTTTGGATGAGCACAAATGCAGACAAGAAGTCTTTCTCGAAAATGCATCAATCCTCAGGATAGGTGGTGATATTTTTAGAAGACTCTGTTCATCTATGGCCAGAAACTTAAACAGGAATCTAGTCCTGATAATATTGTAAGAATCATTCCATAAATAGGCACATGGCATATATTTTCAACATTGGTAAATATTTTTATTTTTCATTTTGCTCCATTTTGATTCCTGTTGGTCCAATGATGCCAGTGATATTGCGAGAAAATACAAATAGTGTGAATGAAGGGACGAGTGTCCAATAAGGATTAGAAACAGAAATTCGCTTCGGGTAAATTAATTGTTCTTTTCATTTCATTTTTACTTCTTCCTGGGTCTTTCCTTGGTCGCCGAGGTGAGAGAGAAATGTTGGGTTAAGCGGCGTGTAACTCAGAAAATTAACACAACCCAACTATCCACTTGATTCATAAAAGAGAACCCGCTTTATTACATTTCCCCAACTGAAACATCCTCCCTCCTCTTATCGCTCTCTCTCTCTCTTTCTCTCTCTCTCTTTCTCTCTTTCTCTTTCTCTCTTTCTCTCTCTCTTTCACACACACACACAAACGCATAGTTGCACTCGCATATATACGCTAAAAGCACACACACGTGCATCCACCTGCAACACCATTTTTACACATATAATGACAAAAGCACAGTTCTCATAAATGTTTATTCTCCCACACTAGAAAAATCAAGTGCATGTTGGCACATACTTTCCCACAGACTTGTGCACAAAAGACCCTCGCACACACTCTCTCACACACACACATACACACACACGCGCGCAACATTATCTAGCTTTAGCTCTAGATTTCCTAACCACCCCATTTTTATTTACTTTTTCTCTCACTTTACACAAACACACGCACACACACACACACACTGGCTCTATCTTCGATAGGGAACACTGTTCAAGAACAATATTAAGTTATATCTATTATCACAATTACAAATATACATTTCCTTGTTCGTTTATATATAATAAACACACACACACACACACACACACACACACATATATATATATATATATATATATATATATATATATATATATATATATATATATATATATATATATATATATATGTGTGTGTGTAGAAAAATTTGCTCTTGTACTGAGTTTCCCTACTGCTTTCAGCTAGTACTTTCGCAATTTTCAAGGGCGGGGTTTACTTTTCTGTGCTAACAAAGATTAAATTATATTTTGATTTCTTTCAGAGTGTTGTGCAAGAAGCATGTTTGGAGCCGTAAAATTTTTGCCTAGTTTCCAAATACGATCGGAATATTCTAGCCGCTTTCTTTAGATAGATAGACAGATAAATTAAAAATAGATAGATAGATAGATAGATAGATAGATAGATAGATAGATAGATCATACTTTCTTCTATATTATTATAATTTTTCACCAATCGCCGTCTTCCCCTCTATCTATTTCCCTCTCTCTCTTTTTCTCCTACTCTGATGTAAACATAAACGCTTTATTCATTTTTTTCTAAAACAAAAAATAGAAAGAATAAAAGGTTACCTCATCTTAACCGCCAAAACTCACATAAACACTTCATTACAAAAAAAAAAGAAAGAAAAAAAACATTGAAAAAACATTTCTATTTAACTAACTTCGTACTTACTCTTCTTTAATTGTTCGTTGGTTTTTTTCTTTCATCCATTCTTTCTCTCTTTTTCACGCCATTTTGTTCCTTTCTCCTCTCTTTTCCTTTTTTTCTTCTCTCCTTAACATTTTCCTTCCTCATAATTAGGCGCGACCGATTTATAATGTAGGGCCACGGACCCTCGTCTCGTCTGTGTCGAACTGTAACACCCTTGCTTCTCTCCTCTCATACATTCACACACTTGCAATTGAACATAAATATTATTAACTTGCGGCTCAAAACACATATTCACTCACACGTGCATACACACACACACACGCACGCGTGTGCGCACGCGCACACACAAGTCATTTAAAAACTATTGCACATAAGCGCATCATAACAAACAAGGAGATATTCTTATGTACTCGACAGCCACTTATTAATAGACGCAAATATAAACACTTGTTCATACTTTCATACAAATAAACCTTGTCGCTCCACAATTCTTTGCCTAATTCCATGATATTCGTTTCGGATAAACGAACACACACGTACACGCACATACTTACATACACACGTACATGTGCATACGCGCGCATACATGTACGCACTCACAGCAATTCCATTTTGCACGTTCTTATAATGAAATATTTTGAAAATACTTTCTTGGTGAATTGCTTATTCACACAGAACTTCTCTCAATCGAGCGCAGAAAAAGTCAATATTTTCCTGTGAATGAACCCACGCGTGCGAACGAGCAAGTACACTCACACACATAAGTGCACACATATACCCATGAGCGTGCACACATGCACGCATGTACACACGAGAACACTCACCTACTTACGTGAACACATACACTAGGGCTTTCTAAAAAAAAACCCGAAAAACATATCTTAAAATACATTCTTTGAACTTAAATTTCGGTTCTATTTGAAAGATAATGACCTAAAGTAAATCCGAATTAAAAGAAAAAGTAATTTGCGTATATAAATAAACTTCTTAGGCATTTTTAAAACATTGGAACGTTTTCTTAGACACTGATCGATTTATCGAGCCGCCATTGTATGCGAAAAATGTAAGCAACAAATTTAAAAATCTTTTTTAAAATCCAGTATTTGTTCTGGAAATATGTTTAGAAGTCTATTAGCAAATTTAATGACTAATTAACTTTATTTTCTAAAAGTAATGCTTAAATTTCGCTGAAAACAAAATAAAATCACGTTTTATTTACGCTTAGTGAGATCAAAGAACAAAATAAAAATTGTGTTGTTCTACCACTATCCTAAAAAGCGCGCAAAAAAGGAAAAATAAAACCTAAAGATATACGGATATATTCAATAATCTAGAAGTTTCTATTTATGTTTAATTTTTTATCCTTATATAACCAATAGTTTAGGAATATGTTATCCTATTTGAAAAATGGCTGGCCACTTGTCTCCAATGATGCCCGTCTACTATGGCAGCTAGCCAATCTCCGTTACAGGCGTCTGCTCAAGCACATTTGTGTTTGTTCAACAGAGTTCACCTATGGTTTATACTGCAACTATTCTGAGCGAACCTATATTACATTTTCTAGGAGATAGCGCATTACCTAGTGTGTTCAACAGTTCGAACAAGGCAAGCATGCTCAAATCCTCCGTCACGATGTCTTGTGACTTTGTGCTAGCACAACCAGCGACGCCTCCTAAAGTTTTCAGTCTACCCAATTTTACTCACAGGGCTTGGGTCAACCAGTGCTATGGTTTTCGGATACTTTCTTCCCTTCCTGATAAATCGACTCATGGTCAGAAAGCAGTGAACGTTCTAACCACTCGGTCATGTGCCTATAATTTATTCTATACGCTGTTATTAAACTTAAAGTATAAGATATTAAGGCGTTACCTAAACAAAAATATAACATAAATGTAATTTGGATTGGAATGTGGAAAGAAAAACATTTATTTAGGTTAATTTGCATTATAATCCCCAACACACGGAAAATTTTCCATTACGGTGTGAAATTGCCTGATTATTTTGAAAATAATAAAAGTTTGCGGAAGAAAACCGACAATGCATGTTCGACCTCATTCACGTCGCGGCCGCCATTACTGGCTTTGTTTACATACGTTTGCGTCGAGTAGTAATGCGCTGAAGTTTCACTTGCCTTGATTACTACGCAATGCGCGAACTTTAAAATGAATGCGCGAAATTTTAAAAGTAACCCAACAGAAAAAGCTTCGCTATTCCAAATATATCAGCAAAAATGAAAAAAATGAAAAACGAAAAATAAAATAAAAATTCCGTAACTGAAAGGATAAGAATTTTTTTCCTTTTTTTTACAGCCATGTTTTTTTTTTAAAATTGTGTCGTGAAAGTTACCTTAAAATCTGATAATTATTTGATATCTGCAAGAATTTCGAAAACAATGTGTTTTTTTTTCTCCAGAAAAAAAATAGCGCACCCATGACATTATATTTATTTAGAAAAGCTTTCAATTGTTTTTTAAATAATTTAAACCAATTAAAAAAAAAAAAGAATTCATTATTTATTAAAAGTAAAACTTGACTTTTACAAAAAAACAAAACTACTTGGTTAACCAATTTAATCAAAATTTAATTGGAAAAAGGAATTTATACGAATTTAAAAAAAACAATTCATTTAAAGCTTCATTTTCACAAAACGAAAAAACAAAAAATTCGCGCATTAAGCAAAGCATAGGCATTTTAAATTAAATTTCGCGAAAATTGCACAGTAATCAAGAGGTGTAAGAACATAAGATCAGTAAATAGGCCATTAACTAAGTAAGCTTCCGCGCATTGCTACTCGAGGTAAACGTATGTAAACAACGCCAGTAATGGTGACCAGGCTGTTGACGCAATGCGAAGAAAGCCGAACTAAGATTGTCAATATCTCCTAAACGTTATTCGTCCGCAAACTTTTATTATTTTTGAAATAATCAGGCAATTTCACACCATAATGGAAACTTTTCATTACAGTTGGTTTTGAGGGATTATAATGTAAATTAACCTGTATTTATTCTATGAGGAAATTTTAGAAACATTACAATAGAAAGTATTCTTTTATGCAAATGAAAAAGTTACATCGTCAGGCTGAAAATTTTCTTTCTTGCAAGAAGAAAATCATGCAGGAAAATAATACAAAAAAAAAAAAATTAAAATTAAAATAATAAAAATTTAAAAGAATAATTTATGTTTATTTAAAGTAAGTATTGGTTCTTCTTGTGTACGAGAATCTGTAAGTGTAAATAAATACTGGAAAACAGAGACACGCGCAAAAACAAACTCCCGTGCCCTTGGATTAGAAAACAGTGCCTTTAAAACTGACTGAATGGAAGGTACCTTAATTAGATTAATTAATAGTATAATACTCTTCCGATATTGAATCAGTGAAAGCAAGAGAGCATATAATTATTTCCTTTTTGTACATCCATAGCAAAAATAATCTAACAGTTTCTAAAATGAAAAAATAAAATAAAATTCTTTTAAAAAGGGTTCGAACTCGAAAATGGCATTAAACTGTACATTTTTTGAATCTTCAAACATTTCTTTATTTAATAAAAGAAAATCTGGAGACGAATAACAACGGATGTTTTTCAAAATTGCAATGAAATATTAAAATTAATTTTTTTTTTAAATAAATATTAAGTGTAGATTTTTTTCCTCCGGTCTGATCTGAAAGAAATTAACGTGTTTTATTAAATTATACAAGCACCAATTTTCAAAAAAAGTATTTTTTGAGTTTTATTGAATTATTTTCCATAAAATACGGAACGAATTTTGCGTATGTTCACATATGTGAAACATACCCAAAAGATATTTCATCTAAGCTTTTTTTTTTTTAATAAACTATTCAGTAAAAAAAAAAAAAATTCATTAATGAATAAGTACTGAAAATTTTGTTTGAATTGGATAAGTCCCTGATTTTTCGTGAATATTTTAAAACAGTGGGTAACTATTTTTTACTTTGATTTCGGAAAAAAAAACATCAATTTTAGTGGAACCTAGCATGCGCACACACGCACACATGCGCTCGCTCACTCACATGCGCATAAATACATGAGCGCTGATGTAAAACAAAATTTTTCGGTCACCGAATTGCAAATATTTGGGGATCACATGTACTCGAATCGCGTCTACGCTCTCTCGCACCTATATATATATATATATATATATATATATATATGAAGAAAAATATACTGAAAAAACAAACAAAAATCCTAATATGCGATTATGTTGTTTTTCGTTTTTCATTCAAAATACTCAAAATTTAGGAATACGTTTTCACAACATCGCCCACGTGATGACGACGTGATCATATTTAAACGGAACGCTGATCTTATAAAAGATTTCAGTTATCTGTTTGGATTGGTATTGCTTTTATGTCCATCGTCTTTTTCATGTTGAATTGTATGTGGTCTATGTTAATTATGTTTTATGAATATGTCCTGAAGATGGTCTATTAGACCGAAACGTCCGACGTTGACATTAAACATTAAAACAACATAATCGCATATGAGGCTTTTTGTTTGTTTTTTTCAGTATATTTTTCTTCAGACTGTCGGATCTATATCCATATATTTGCTCACACACACACACACACACACACACACGCGCGTGTGTGTGTGTGTGTGTGTGTGTGTGTGTGTGTGTGTGTGTGTGTGTGTATTTAGGCATCAATCCGTCTTTCATGCACATTTCATTGAAAATGACAGACAAGGTGCTTTTATTTAGTTTTTTATACAATTTCTCATGCGATCTAATATTTTTTTTTCTTTTCGGATT